TGAATGGAGAAGATACAATGCTTTCTCCTTAAGGTGGGGAACAAGGGCAGATATGCCTACTCTTCATCTGTCCACTAAACTTTGAAACCTAGGCCCAACCAAAATAGTCTGGCGATAAAATGACACAATTAGGATAGGATTGGTAAGGTAGAAATAAAATCTTTATACGTAGATGAAATGATCATCTACAGAGAAAATACTAAGAAATCTCTAGGAGCCCCTAGAACTTGTATTTGAATTTAAGCTTTCTTACTATTGATAGTCTTAGATTTGATGAAATCCCCTTTGAGATCACCAAGTGGCCAGAGCTGGCATTTAAAATGAAGCCCACTGGCCACCATCACTTGAGTGTGTTTTATCCTGATCCTCCCAGGGAGACTCAAGTGGCCTGAGGACAGAGGCAGGGTCCCCCATAGCACCCAGCTCAGCTCAGGGTGCAGGGATGGATAGGTGTCCACCATCTGCTGAGTAAAACACCAGAGAAAATCAAAGCATTCAGCCACACGTATGCTAAGAGAGACTAATACCCTCTGAGAATGGGTCCTGGCCTGGCAGCCTCTTGGCAGAGAGGATAAATGTCAGGCAGAATGGGAAACAAATGGGGCTCCAGACTCTTCCCCACTCAAGACAGCTCCAGTTTCCTGGTTCATGGTTTCTGGAGTTGGAGACAAATGCTCATCCTGCCTACTGTGGTCCTCCACTGTGTCACCAGACTTTGTGTGAATCACCTTTGCTTTAAAAAAAAAATTGAATTTGTCCCCCAGAGCCAAATATTTACAGGCACGGAGGATGTTCAAAAGAGTGTGCTGTGTGCTTTGGAGTCATTTCCACAGGAACGTCAAGACTTGAGGGATGGCCTTGTCATGGGAACTTGTGTTTGCTGCCTCGGGCGGTTATGCCAGAGGGACAAGGGGACCGTGAGGATCTGCCATGGAATATCATCAGAAGATGAGCCCTGCTTTGTAGTCACAGTTCCTACAGACAGCCTGAACAGGTCTTTTTAAAGGTCTCTAGGGCCGGGGATGTATCTCAGTGTGAAAGCCCCGAGGGCAATCCCCAGTACCTCCCCAACTGCCTCAAATTTCTGAAAAATGATGTATCTCCTTGCATACTTTTAAAACTTGATATGGAGTACATTCCAGTTTAAATAATTAGAAAAGATATAATTTCTAGATATTGTAAATAACTGACATTTTCATATTAACCTGTTAAGGGATTTATTTATTTATTTATTTATTTTTGAACTTGGGTCCTTGCACTTTCGAGGCAGGCGCTGGAACCACTGAGCCAAATCCCCAGCCTGTTAAGGGATTTAAAAAAATGTGCTCAATGTAATTCAAGTGCCATTGTGATATAACACCTGCTGTTGTCCATATAAAAATGGCAGGAGCAGGGTTATCTTAAAAATTGGCAACATTATGTTGCTCTTTTTTCTCCTTGAAATGGTATCTGTATTCGGCTTTACCCACAGAATTTTCACTTCATATATGCTCTTACACTTGAAAACATGTGGTCAGCCCATCATAATTATCTACAACCAGAGGATGCACATAAATAGAAACAAATTAAAATATGATCCTAGTGACCATATATCTCCAAGGACTAAACATTTTCTTCTGGAGTGAGTTATCATTTTAATTACTTTGGTATGACATAAAATATCAAAATTTTAATGAATACTTATCAAACCTAAAAAGCAGAGCTGTATTGGAAATGCCACGCTAGAGGAGGCTGGGAAGAGTGGGTCACAGTGCTCTGATCAGAAGCATGGCTCTTGCTCTGAGTGTCTCTGGTCCCCTTGTTTGACCCAGGAGGTTCAGCACCCAGGGCAACATGGCACATTTCTGTTCTTCAGGCCCAGGACACAGCCCTGAGCCTGGAAGGCAGAGAGTTCCCTGCCCTGACCTCACAAGTCTTCCCAGGGAGTTGTGTAAAGTCCGTGTACAGAGTAGGTGCTGGGCCCAGGAGGGGTCTGCATCTATAAATCAGCTCCCTGCAAACTCCCCTCCTCTGCACATCTTGTAGAACATCTCTGGACTTTCAGAGGAGTGTTCACCAGGTCGAATCCTGCTCTTCATTTTTAAAATTCTTATCAGTATTTGCAGTACATAATGATTCCTGATGTGGAGTTGCTGCATGCACATCACACATCTTCATTCCTTTTGTCATCCTCTTTCCCTCCCCTCCTTCCATCTCTGATCCCCTGTCTACTGGAGAAAGATCTGTCTCCCTACTTCCTATTATCTATGTTTTATTTTGCTCTTTATTTAATTTTGGATTTCTCAGAGGAGAAACCATGTGATATTTAAGCTTATGTGTCTGATCTATTTCATTTAACATTGTGATCTCAAGGTGCATCCATTTACCTATAAATGACTCAAGCTTATCTTCTTCTTTTTTTTTTTTTGTACCGGGGATGGAACTCAGGTCCTTGTACTGCACAGCAGGCTCCGGAACCACTGAACTAAATCCCCGGCCCAAACTTATCTTCTTTACAGTAGAATAGTGCTCCATTGTGTGTAGATAACTACTTGTTCTTTAGCCATTCATCTGCTGATGGACATAGAGGCTGCTGCTAAGATTGAATCCTGCTCTTCTACATCAGTAGCAGCAATCCATGGAATTAAGAAGTTGTTATGGGTTAGATCTACAATGTCACCCAGAGGTTTCATGTGTTCAGAGGTAGGGCTTTTGGAAGGTGATTGAATCATGGGGCACTGTACTCAACAGTGGGCTAATCCATGCATGAGTTTATGGCTGAATGTGCTGTCAGGAGGTGTGGGGCCTGGCTGAAAGAGGTGGGTCACTGGAGGGGGGGT